TTAATGATCATCATCATCATCATCATCATCATCATCATCATCATCATCATCATCATCATCATCATCATCATCATCATCATCATCATCATCATCATCATCATCATCATCATCATCCGCCTCCGCCTCCGCCTCCGTCTCCGCCTCCTCCTCCTCCTCTTCCTCCTACTCCTCCCCGCCATGCGGATCCTGCCGCTGGAGCCTGCGGTAGAGAGCCCCGTGGGGCCGCGAAGCAGATGAGGCGGAAGGAATGCGATCTGGAGAGGAAGGGGAAGGAGGAGGAGGAGGAGGAGGAGGAGGCGGGGGCGGCGGAGGAGGAGGAGGAGGAGGAGGAGGAGGAGGAGCAGGAGGAGGAGGAGGAGGAGGAGGAAGGGATCCTGGCCGTGGGGGGGCGGGCACAGCGTGGTTTACCAGGGATCCTGCCCCTGGGGGCGCGGACGCAGTATAATTTACGAGGGATCGTGGCCTCGGGAGCGCGAATCCCGCGTAGTGGGCCACAAAGGCGTGCGATGGATGCGCCGAAATGGCACGAGACCGCCATACGAACCCTCCCGTATGGGGCCTCGGCGGAGCATGGGGCCACGAAGCGCGAGGGGCGTGCCGACATGGCCCGAGGCCCGTCATGCGGACCCTCTCGCTGGAGCATCCGGAGGAGCCCCCCTGTGGGGCCGCGACGCAGGTGAGGCGGAAGGAATGCGATTTGGGGAGGAAGGGGGAGGGAGGGACGCGGGGCACTGTCTCATCAAGACGCAGACGCAACACCACAGGAAGGCTGACCAACTGTCGGAGGTCCGCGCCGGGTCTCTGGGATCGGAGCTGGACCCCCCGTCCCCAGCGCACACCTAAGAAATCAGCGCGGACGTCCAAAGACCTCTGTGTATGCAGTGTATGTGCATTCCTATGATTACTCATACCCGTAGCTCCTGCAGGGCGGACTCTGACCAAAAAAATGCGCGACTCGTCTTGCACCAGGTGAAGCTCGTGTTCTGCAGCGATGCGCCTCCCCTCAGCAGGCGCGCGCGGGGGGGGCGCACGGTCGTCGACGAGGTCGTTGATGCTAAACTGGTTCACCACCTTCAGCTGGTACCTGGCGTCGCGCGCGCGGCGAAGCGGCACGAGCGGGTCGCCTTCCACGGCCCGCGGAGCAGCGCGGACGCCAGGGTGCCGGCGGCCGGGCCGCGCGCGGGCGCGAGGGGAGGAGCACGCATCGGCGGGGGGGGCGGGCGGACGAGCCCGGGAGGCACCGAGAGCGCCGCGGTGCAGCGGGCGCTCAGCCACTCTCGTCGCCCACCACCACCACCACCACCACCACCACCCCGCCCCAGCTTCCCACTGCGCCGAAAGACGACAGAGCCGCACAAGCCCAACAATGCCGGAGGTCCGTGGGGATGCGAAGCAGGGCGCAGCAAGCGGCCCGCGGCCAGGGAGGAGGCCCATCAGCTTCGGAGACGCCCACCTGCAGAAACACCGCAGCGCTGGCTTGGAATATGACAACGGGTCCCACGCCGAGCATCGTCCCCACACTGCACCGCACTGCCCGAAAGGAGAGAGAAGAAAAAAAAAAAATGTCCTGAGACCCCAGGGAGCGGAGCGACGCCGATGTCGCCCAGAAGGCGTCACGTGTGGGGAACGGTGGGTCCTCGGACCCCAGGGAACGGTGGATACGAACATGCTTCGGGGCCCTGTGGCCGAAATACCCCGAGATCCCGGCGTTGCCATTTTTTCACAGCGGGCGCTCGAATAATGACGCAGAGAGATGACTTCCGGCGATCTGGTGGTGCTTTTTCCCCAATGTTGCATGCCATTTTTGTTGGCACTCCTCCTCCTCCTCTTCCTCCTCTTCCTCCTTCCTCCTCCCCCTCCCCCTCCCCCCCCGCCTGCCCCTCCTGCTCCTCCTCCTGCTCCTCCTCCTGGTCTTACTCCTCCTCCTCCTCCTCCTCCTCCTCCTCCTCCTCCTCCAGCTCCATTCCTTCTCCTTACAGACAACTCCTTCCTGTCGTTCCCCGAGGCCAGTTTTTTAGAGCGGGCCGCGCGTTTCGCCTGAGACCTCTTCACCATTTATGACTCTGAAGCTTAAAAGGTGACAACAGTTTCACAGATGGAGGGCGGGTGGTTTTCAAAATGTGGCTCTCGCCTTAGCGCCGAGCACAGTCGTTTCAAAATGTGCAAGAGCTTTACGGATTGAGGGCGGGTCGCTTTCAAAATGTGGCTCTCGCCTCAGCGCCGCGCACATTCGTTCTCAAAATTTGCAAGAGTTTCACTGATTGAGGGCGGGTGGTTTTCATCAAACTTTGCAGAAGTTTCACGGATCGAGGACGGGTCGTCTTCAAAATGTGGCTCTCGCCCTAGCGCCGCGCACATTCGTTCTCAACATTTGCAAGAGCTTCACGGATTGAGTGCGGTTCCTTCCCAAAATGGGGCTCTCACCTTAGCGCCGCGCACATTCGTTTTCGAAATGTGCAAAAGCTTTACGGATTGAGGGCGGGTCGTTTTCAAAATGTGGCTCTCGCCCTAGCGCCGCGAACATTCGTTTTCAACCTGTTCAAGAGTTTCACGGATTGAGAGCGGTTCCTTCCCAAAATGTGGCTCTCGCTTTAGCGACTCGCACATTCGTCTTCAAAATTCGCAAGAGTTTCACGGATTCCCATGATCCACGTACCAGAACTTGTGTTTTGGATGGATTAGGATTATGCGGGTGCAGCATGCATGCTGATTCTCGGTGTTGAAGTCCCAATCGGGGATGGGCAGACCCCCCTTTAGTAAAACGTGGTTTAGTGAGAACGACCTGAGGCCCAAACCTGGCGGGCGCAAGCCTGGAAAATAACGGACACGGCGCCCTCTCGAGAACCGAAAACGGACAATTCACTAATCGACGTGTCACTGTTGGGGGTTCTGTCCACCCGACCCAAAAATGGCGTTCTGGCACGATTCCGGATAGTCAAGACGCAGCAGTCAGGCTGATACGTGGCGTTAAAATCCCCAGAACCATGTTTTGGCATGCTTCAGGATCTTCAAACGGTTGTCTTCCAACGAGGCAGTTCCCTCAATGGAAATGAACGTTGTAGGGGCCTATGAAGAGGGAGCTTGGAGGGAGGGTTAATTCCATCATCGTTGATGACTCTTTGCTTTACACTGGTCCTCCTCCTCCTCCTCCTCCTCCTCCTCCTCCGCCGCCGCCGCCTCCGCCTCCTCCGCCGCCTCCTCCGCCGCCGCCTCCTCCTCCTCCTCCTCCTCCTCCTCCTCCTCCTCCTCCTCCTCCTCCTCCTCCTCCTCCTCCCCTTCTCCTCCTCCCCCTCCTCCTCCTCCTCCTCCTCCTCCTCCTCCTCCTCCTCCGCCCCCCGAGGCCCGAGGCCCAGGAAGGCCCGGGCTCCGCGGGCGGCGGAGACGGGCAAGGCCCAGCCTCGGAGGGCGCAGCCGTTGGCTTCCAGGCAGGCCATGACCGGAGACGGGAAGCGAATCGGTAGAGTTGCCAGGGCTCGAGAGCTCGGTCTGCATGCATGAGGACAAGCGCTGTCGAACTCGAGTCGCCTCTGGCGATCGTGCATAACAGAAATTCGCCGGCCCAACGGGCCAGAGGCGTGCTAAGATCTCCGGTAACTTGTTAACAATATTTCTAGTTCGCGCGCGAAGCGGCCCCTGGGGGCCCCCAGACGAAAAGTACCCCGGCAAGGTCCCGAGAGAAGCCCGGGAGAAGCCACCAGACCACTCCAGGGGAGGGTATTTTTCGACACCCCTCACGAGGATCGTGGCCTCCGAGGGGGGAGCCGCAATCGACTACCCCCAAGAGCCCCCCCAGAGGCCCTGGGGGCCTCCAAAACGCCGCCAAGGAGCCCCAAGAGACTCCCAAGAGGTCCCCAAGAGGCCCCCAAGAGGCCCTAAAGAGGGCTCCAGGGCCGGCGGCATGAGCGAAGCGATTAAATAATACCAAGGGAGAAGAAGAAGAAGGTGAAGGATAATGATGCTAATATTATTCATCTGAAACCAATAAATTGGTAGTAGTAAGATGTATGATAATAAAGATGGCATAACAGAAATAAACATACAAATCCTAATCCGATTGTGATCGATGCAATAATGTCAATAACAATAATAACAATAATAGCAACAATAATATGAATGGCAATCCACAATACTGATAAACAGAAGATGATACAAATATTTGTTATATAACTATGTGTTCAAAAAAAGAAGAACACTGATGCTAAAACGGAAAATGAGCACCACAACACAAAAAGAAATCATAATACTGGCCCCAGCCTTGGACTCACATCCTGCTGATGTGCTGGCACTGCCGTTCCACGTCGGCGCGGAGCTGCCGCAGGGCCGCTCTGCCCTCCGCCGCGTGGACGCAGCCTGTGGCGCCCTTCGTGTGGACGAGGCGAGTCAGGCAGACCGCGGGACAGCGACGGATCGGGGGCGTCACAGAGGGGGGCGTCCAAGCGGGGGGCTCACGAACCGTAGCCCGAGGCACGTGCGCGGACGAGGGGGGGACCAGGGACGGATCGGAAGCAGAAGAGGGACCGTGAAATCTGCGGCGATTCCGTGGCCCCGGCCATGATATCTACCCCCCCCCTAGTCATCACCCCCCTTTTGGACGCCCCCGAGCGGTAAGTGAGCGGACGGTCGGCCAGGACTCCGTATCGTGGGGGCACGTTGAAGGCGAAATCGTCGCAGGCACACGCGCTGTGCCCGCAGAGTCGAGAGGGGCAGCGGCGGGAAAAGAATGGCAGGCCGAGGGAAGTCGTGAAGCGGCGGCGCGATGGCAAAGGAGGAGGGGGGGGGTAGGGGATGGGGTGCACGCTGTTGCAGGGGAGGCGCGTGGGGGAGGGGAGTCGGGGAGGACCCAAAACTCAGACGCCCTGCGGCGTAGACGGGGAGGGGCGTGGGGGATGGGGCGGGGAGGACCCAAAACGCCGACGTCTTGACTTCGCTCACGGACGTCGACCCCCCAAGTCGGGGCCCCAGCCCGCACCCAGAGCCGGCTCGCGACGGCCCCTGAGGAGACCGCCGAAGGGCCCCAAGAGGCGCTGGGAGCGGCGAAGTGAGAGAGCCTTCCGCCGCTTGACCGCCTCGAGGCCCTGAGATCCGACGTAGCGAGAAAATTGCAGCATCGTAAAAGATCATCGTCGTCGTGGTGGTCTTTCGCCTCCGCCTCCTCCTCCGCCTCCTCCTCCTCCTCCTCCTCCTCCTCCTCCTCCTCCTCCTCCTCCTCCTCCTCCTCCTCCTCCTCCTCCTCCTCCTCTTCGCATCACTCCTGGATCCCTAGACACCGTCTTCCTGCGACATATTTCAAGCCGGATCCATCTGTGAGGGTCCTGGGGCACCCGAAGAAAAGCGAAAACGCCCAGCTCGAAAGAAAGTTGCAACGCCAGGATCGATAAGTCGGATCGGCGATCGAAATGAATCGGATCGGCGGAAATCTGCAGCCGAATCGGAAAAAATCGAATCGGCGGGCCAGTAGGCCTCCGTTGAGCAATCGGAGCCCAAAACGGAATCCATAGTCGAGTCGAATCGGAATCGGCAACCGTCGAAATCGAATCGAATCGGCGGAATCGAAACGAGCCCTGTCTCAGGAGGGGAAGAGCCTCTTCCCCTGCTGAGACAGGGCGGGTGGGAGGGGAAGAGCCTCTTCCCCTGCTGAGACGGGGCGGGTGGGAGGGGGGAGAGCCTCTTCCCCCCCCCCGAGACAGGGCGGGTGGGAGGGGAAGAGCCTCTCCCCGGCTCCCCTCTTCAGAAGGGGGGGGGGGGGGGGGGGGGGAAAGGGGCGCGAGTGGAACGACCGAGGGGAGGCCTGGGCCCACTGGCAAGCCCTGGTGGCGGGCGGGCCGGTGGCGAGGCCGCGAGACGAGCGCGGGGGTTGGGAGGAGGGCTGGGGCGGCCTGGGCCCCGCTTCCCGTCGCACGAGGAAGACGAGGAGGAGGAGGAGGAGGAGGAGGAGGCAGAGGACGAGGAGGAGGAAGAGGAGGAGGAGGGAAAGGGGGAGGAGGAGGAGGAGGAGGAGGAGGAGGAGGAGGAGGAAAAGGAGGAGGAGGAGGAGGAGGAGGAGGAGGAGGAGGGGGAGGGGGAGGAGGAGGAGCGCGGCCTGGGCCCCGCTTTTCGTCGCACGAGGAAGACGGGCCCCTCGATGTTCCCCTGCGGCCACGGGGGGCCCCGGCCGGCAGGCCGCGGCCACGTCGCTGCCGTCGGACGCCGCCATCGGCGCGCCCTGCCCAGCCAGCCGAGGATCTGATCCTTTTCCCTGCGGTGGCAGCGAGAACGATCACGAGTATAACAACCCAGACATGATCGCGTCGAAAAAAAAATCTGGGCGGAGGTTTTTCGCTATTCTCGGCCCCTGGGGGCCCTCGCCAGGCCCCGGGACCGTCAGAAAACGATTCAGGATGACAAACCGGCCCCGGGGAAAGGGTCGGGACTTCCGGGGACGCCGTCCTGACAAAATCGGGACGTCGCATGTCTGGGATTCTTTCCCTGCGGCGGCTCTTCCTGGCATTCGGCCTCCGGGGCCCGTTCTCGGGCCCGGGGACCGTGGAAAACGGATCTGGTTCCTTTCCCTGCGGCGGCCCTTCCTGGCTTTCGGCCTCGGGGGCCCGTTGTCGCAAGAGAGCCCAGAATCGAATCGAGAAGTCGGATCGGCGATCGAGATGAATCGGATCGGCGAAGTCGGCAGCCGAGTCGAGAAAGGTCGAATCGGCAGAAATCGGCAGGCTAGTATGCCTCCACTAAGAAATTGGAACCCAAATCGGAATCCCAAGTCGGATCCAATCGGAATCGGAAGCAATCAAAATCCAATCGAACCGAATCGGAGGAATCGAAGCGAGCCCTGCTTGTCGGGCCCGGGGACCATGGAAAATGGATCCGGGACGAAAAGCCCCCCCCCCGCGGGAAGGGGTCGGCACCTCTGGGGCCGCGGCTTGAAAAACACCGTGACTCTCGGCGGAGATCGGGGCGCTTCTCGACGTGTTCGCACCGGGCGCTCCGGCGCGGGCTCGGGCCCCAGGACCGGCACGGGTCGATGCGGCTCGGGAGATGGCAGCGGGGAGGCGGAGCCTGGGGCTCTCGTCGCGGCTCTGCCACGATCCTGCCGTGTCTTGTCTCGCGGCGTCGGACCTCGAGGGCAAGGCGCGGGGCTTCCGGAGGGCATCCTGACCGTTCCGGCGGTGTCTCGTGCCGCGCCGACGGCGAGGTGGAGCCCCCGCCCGTCGTACAGTCGGACCTAGGCCAGAAGAGCGTCCCTCAAGAACATGAAGCCCTCCGTGGGCCAAAGCAAGCAGAACAACTGAGGGGCCCCCCACAGGGTGCACGAGAAGATGCAACCAGCAGCACGAAGAGCACAAGGGCCCCCTCCCCGCACCGCCCTCGATCTTATGCCTCTACCTCGGTCCGACTCCATCGATGCACCGCCAGTTTGCGGCAAAAGCTTGGGGGAGTGCCACAAGGGAGAGAGCCGGGCCAGGACCGCGCCAAAGGCCGGGGTTGCCGCGCTCTCCCTTGGGAGGCGCTGCGCGCGCGGCGTCGCGGTGCCCCCCGCCCAACCGTCAGTCCCCTGTGCCCTGGCCCGGCCCAACCCCAAGCCCGGGCCGCCAGAGGCCGAAACTCGCCAAAACTCCTCGTCCTGAAAACTCCTCGTCCTGATTTTGTTTCGGGGGCGGCCAAGAGGGGGGCGTCCAAGAGGGGGGGCGCAAATCATGGCCCGCGGCATGTGCGCGGCCAAAGGGGGGGGCCAGGGACGTAATGAAACAAGAAGAGGCGCCATGAAATCTGGGGAAGTATCATGGCCCACGCCATGATATCCACCCCCCCCTAGTCATTTCCCCCCTCTTTGCTGCCCCCGATTGCTGCGACGCGAGCATGCTCGGGGGGATGGTCGGCCGTCCTCCTCCTCCTCCTCCTCCTCCTCCTCCTCCTCCTCCTCCTCCTCCTCCTCCCCCTCCTCCTCCTCCTCCTCCTCCTTCTCCTCCTTGCGACGCGAGCATGTCTGGGGTGTGGTCGGCCGTCGGTCGCGGTCGGTCGCTGGCGTCCGTCGTCGCCACTGCGCGCACGCCGCCGCCGCCGCGGTGCCCCGATCTCGCCAGCGCGCACGTGGAAGCTCGGCGGGGGGGGAGGGGGAGGAGGAGGAGAGGAGGCCTCCTCCTCCTCCTCCTCCTCCTCCTCCTCCTACTCCTCCTCCTCCTCCTTCTCCTTCCTCCTCCTCCTCCTCCTCCTTCTCCTCCGTCGTCCTCCTCATCCTCCTTCCTCCTCCTCCTCTTCCTCCTCCTCCTTCCTCCTTCCTCCTTCCTCTTCCTCCTCCTCCTCCTCCGTCGCCGTCGTCGTCGGCATCGTCGTCGTCGTTAGTCGTCGTCGTCGTCGCCGCCGTCGTCGTCGTCGTCGTCACCGTCGTCGTCCCCCAGAGCGGTGGCGAGAGCTCCCGCGGCCTTTCGCCAGCCGGGGTTCGGCCCGTCCTTGCGGCGGGAGAGGGGAGGCGAGAGGAGCGGTATGCGACGGAGTAAGAGGAGACGGATGGACGGAAGCAAATCGAGCAGAAGGGGCAACAAAGATGCTCGCAACGGAGAGAAAGGCTCCCCCGATCTGGCACGCTTCCGCTGCTTTGCAATTGGCATGCCCTTATCCATAAGCAACTATGATTTGGATTGTCAATGACCCACCTCTACGGTGCATGGTCGCTGACAATAAAAACTGGTGATGCTAGGTTGAGCTACGAGCGCTGAAGGGTGGATTACCCGGGCTGCTTTCGACTGAGCGGGCATCGCTAATCGCGAGGACATGCAATCATAAACTCAGGATTAACGAGATAACTTCGCATGCCGATCAGCCACTTCACACGACGTCGCTGACAAACGCACAAGGGGTGGGAGGGAGACACATCAGGAGGGAGAACGAGTGAAAATGAGGAGGTGGTAACCTTGGTTGAGGATACATCCTTCCCACCCTAGACACACACACACACACCTGACATAGACACGCACACGCTTACACTAACCAACAGACACATACACACCCACAGACACACTCATACAAACACCCAGAAGCACCCACACACTCAGCAACGGAGAAGAAGTGCAATCCCAAGCTATGAAGTTCCACCCCTCACCAAGCGTTCTCCTGCAATGAGCATCGTTTGACCGATCCCGATCCCCAATGGCGTGGCCTGGGCCCTACTCACCGATTTACCCCCGAGATGGGGATATGGGCGGTTCCCTTCGGGCTTCGAGGGGCATATCCCGAACTGGGGTGGTGGGATGGTGGGGATCGGGATGAGAATGGGGATAGGGATCGGTTAAACGATACTGACGTAAGAGCGCAAACTGCTGTTGAAGCGTAATGGGAACAGCAGCACTCCCAAATCACGCAGACCAACACCACAATCCAAGCTGCAACAGCCTGGGCGGCTGGCTGCATTGGACGGCGAGCCGGAGGTACAGGCAACCCGTATCGCCGGCCACCGATCAGAAGCAGATGGTGGGCGGTGAGAAGAGCAAAGTGGCTTTAACCAATCACAACACACGGCGACAGAAAGCGAACGGTGTCAGCCCATGAGCCCAAACTCGCCACTGCGCAGCCCAATCCGACCATCAGTCCTCTACCGCGGTTGCTGATAACAGCTCACACGCCTACGGCGTTCCCCACCCACCCACCCCGGCCCTAGGAGTACGTGAGTGGTTTGATAGATCAGCTCTCCCAAAACCCCGTGCTCCCTTCAGGGATTAGTTCACCCCTTCTTTACCCACGTTGCAATCTGTCCCATTTCCCCCCGCCCCCAGCCAACCAAATGAGACAGAAATAGAGCGGCAAGGATGCATTGGTCAGTGCAGCTGGCAGCAATCAAACCGCTGAGACTGCAGCATCCACTAAACACTCACACCGCCACCCTGGGCCCACGACTTGTGAACACCGCCCTCCTGGCCAGGAGCAGGAGGAGGAAAAATGGCTCGGTGAAGCACTCAACCCATCAGAAAGGCGGGGCGACTATATATGGACGAGAGACGCCATGTGATCACCCTCGCTGGGGCAGAATCGGGAGCGGCCAAGAGGGGGGCGTCCAAGAGGGGGGGCGCAAATCATGGCCCGCGGCATGTGCGCGGCCAAAGGGGGGGGCCAGAGACGTAATGAAATAAGAAGAGGCGCCATGAATTCTGGGGAAATATCATGGCCCACGCATTGATATCCACCCCCCCCTAGTCATCACCCCCCTCTTTTCCGCCCCCGACAGTAGGTGGAGCCGCCCGAGCAGGGCAGGAGATGTGTGAGCCGAGACGGGCACGGGCACGCAGTGTGGCCACCCCGCGGGGGCCACAGGTGGAGCCAGCCTCCCTTTGGGGGCAGGAAACGTGCGGGGGGTACGCGGGCAGGAGACGCAGGAGGAGGAAGGGGAGGAGGAAGGAGGGAGGAAGGGAAGAAGGAAGCAGCAGGACGGGGAGCAGGTGAAAGAAGGGAAGAAGGAGAAGGAGGAGGTCGAGAAGGAGCGGGATTGAAGCGAGGACGCGCGGCGCTGCGAGTTCAGAACGAGGACCCAGCACACTGGAGGGTTGGGAACTACATGCACAGACAATGTCGGAGGCGGCTGGGGAGCTGGGGAGCGTCCCTCTTGCTCACCCTCGGGAGAAGACAGGACGAGACAACACACAACTTTCCAAGGCCCGCTCCAGTTTCTTGGCTGCGCGCTGGACCCCCTGGCGGCGCCTCCGGCGCCGCCCCTGGCGCGCTCCGCGCGTCAGGGACGGAGGTCCACCGCCGACTCGAGAAATCCGCGCGGACCCCCGAGAGCTTACGCTCATGCCGTCCTGTGGTGCACACGACAGCAGCGCGGGCTCCCGCTGACCCCGGATGACCCCGGCCAGTGCAAAACGCGGGCCAGTCAGGCTCCGCAGGGTGCTGCAGAAAGATCCTGCAGGATCCTGCGCGTCATCTCGGGCCAGTGCGCCCCTGGCCCCGCAGGATCCTGCCGGGTCCGGCGCTCTGGCTGACTCACGTCTGCATTGACCCCCGTCCCCAGACGTCCGCCGATCTGATTGTTCAATCCGCGGCCCCAGATGTCCCGACCCATTCCAAAGGGGTGCTTTTCCGTCTTGGATCCATTCTTGATGGTCCCCGGGCCCGGTAACGGGCCCTGGCGGCCGCAATCCAGGAACAACCGCCGGATTGAAAACAAATCCTATTCTCGGATCTCTGGGCCCCTGACAGCTCGAACAACACCTGCAAAGCTCGTGCCGTCCTGCAGATCCCATTCCGTCTCTATGCTACCCCTACGAGGCAGACCAGCAGCGCACACAACACCGCTGGCTCGGTGCAGCTGGTACAGCTGGCGCGTTCTGACCCGCGCCGCGAAGGGGAGGCACTGCGCGAGGCGGGGCGAGGGGAGTCCTGCTGGAGAAAATACACGACCACAAACTTTGAGAAGATGGTGACCTGCTCGATGTCGGGGTCCTGCCACTCCGGGCGCCGGGGCGTTCCGTGCCCAGCATGTCCCTCCCCTTCTCCAGTTCCGCCTCCCCGTTCTCTGCGCCGCGCCCCCCTTTTGGTTTGTAAATGTGCTGCCCTTTCTTCTGACGCTTCCTTCTCCTAGTCGGATCATGCGTCAGATTCCCCAAACAAGGCTTGCACTTCGGGGCTGCCATGGCCTTAAGTTACAAGAACTGGGTTGGTTTACGCCCCGGTTGGCTTGGTCTCGCCCCGTCACCTGCCCCTCGCTGCTCGTCGCCGCCCCGTCGCCACAGCATCGCTGGGCTGGTTTGCCGCCCCGGCTAACTTGTTCTCGCCCCGTCACCGCCCCGTCGCCGCTCGTCGCCGCACGTCGCCGTCTCGTCGCCGCCGCCCCGTCGCCCCACCATATTTGGACTGCACCACAGACAGTGCACCACACAGCTCACACCACATACATTACATCACATAGCTTACACCGCTACTACCCATGTACATCGGCTCTCCTTGTTCTAAAAGAGTACGAGAATCTACCCCCCCCCCAAAAAAAATTAGCCGCCCCCCGCTTTGTATTGCAATGAACATACGAGTCTGCCCCATCTTCCATCCGAATCATGAAGTCGTATCATCCCATCTGGACAATTTACTCTCGCCTTCACCTTCTACAAAAAAATTGTGCGCGCACACTTGTTCATCAAGCATCATACATGTCCAAGAACCTTTTGGGAAAAATGGATGGAGTGCACACGCGCGTTTCGTTGCGCGCGCATGTCGAAATCTTTATATATACACATCAACACATGGTTTCGCAAAAAGATGCTCAACAAAGAAAGGTTTGCGCGCGCACCTGCGAATTTGCCTTAAAACAATAAATTGTTCAAAACATGTTCTTAAAATGCTACCCAACGTGTTTCGCGCGCGCATGGTCGAAATCGTTCGAACGCCCTGGCGCGCGCGCAGTCTGAAAAATCCCCTGCAGAAAAAGTCAGGAAGTGCACACGCGCGCATCGCCGCGCGCGCATGCTGAAATCGTTCAAAAACCTCCGGTCTCAAATCGCAACGTCAGCATTCGAATCAAGTATTCGCTCGCTTCCCGGCGAACAATTATTCAAAAAAACCATGTGTTCAACATGTTTAATGAATTGGGCCAAACGGGCCTCTCGCGCCGCATCTCGAAAACATTCGAACGCCCTTGCGCGCGTGCCGGGTCGCCCACTCGCACTGAAGTGCCCGGTGGGATGCGCCCAGGGGTCAGCGCCACCGCGGCCGCGTAGGTCGCGCCAAACTATCTGGCCGCTGCGCCCGTGAGAATGCGCGGGTTAGCGTGGCCACGGAGATGAACCAATCAACACCAAGCACTCATCGCAACCGCCCCCGCATGGGTTCTGCAAATCAGGTTGCGGATGGGTGGGTGGGATAATTGCGCGAGCCGTGGAGTTGACATCTCGCTGCGCGTACGCTGGTGAATTGCACCTCATATGATTATGCCCAAGCGTCCATCCTAGGTATGGATCCGTATGATCCCAGCTAATTTGGTATCCCCCCGTCATCCTCTGCAAAAGAACTGTGCGCGCACCCGCGTTTGCCCAAAACCCTCAAATTTCTAGAACGCTTGTAAAAAAACAGGAAATGCACAAGCACGCATCGTCTCCAGCGCATGCCGAAATCCTTCAACAACCTCGGCTTTCGCAGCGACTTCAAAATCGAGTGTCCCGAATACATATACAAACTGCTGGTTTCGCAACAAAGATGTTCAAACGAACGTTGCGCCCAGCCTTTTGCGAATTCTCATGGAAACAATGAGGTGTTTCAACACGTTCACAACTTGTTACCAAACGCGCCTCTCGCGCGCATGTCGAAATCGTTTGAACGCCCCTACGCGCGTGCTGTCCGAAGAACCTGTTGCAACAGAAGCACACACACACACAAAACAACAAAACAACAACAAAAAAAAAAAAAAAAAAAAAAAAACGGAATGCACGCGCGCCCGTCGTCGCGCACGCATGCCGAAATCCTTCGACAACTTTCCGTTGCGTAAGATTGTCCGAATCGTGCCCCGAAAACACATATGGTTTTGCAGCATCCGTTTTTGTAGGCCGACGTTGAACACAAAACACAGGTTGTGCATCATGTCCCTGAAATTCGGCCAAACGCGCCACACGTCGAAATCATTCGAGCGCCGTTGCGCGTGTGCTGGGGGGGACGATCCGTGTCAAATGATTTCACGCGGGCCACTATCGCGCGTCGGCCGCGCGCGCGTGTCAAACTCATTCCAAAGTCTTCATCATCGACGCGAGGGCGCCGTCATCGTCGCCAGCGTGATCACCATCGGCACCATCATTGTCCTTGCCGTCGTCGTTGTCATCATCGTCACCAGCACCGCTACCATCATCATCATCGCATGTACAGGTGTCGACGTTGCCATGATACCGCGCCCGACCAGGTCGCCGACTCGCACTGAAGTGCCCGCTGGGATGTGCGCAGCGGTCAGCGATACCGCGGCCGCGTCGGTTGCGCTAAACTATCTGGCCGCTGCGCGCGCGAGCATGCGCGGGAGAGCGCGGCCGCAAAGATGCACCAGTTAACACCAAGCACTCATCGCAACCGCCCCCGCATGGGTTCTGCAAATCAGGTTGCGGATGGGTGGGTGGGATAACTGCGCGAGCAGTGGAGTGGGGGACTCACTGCGAATGAACATGAATTGCACCACAAAGATCGTACCACATTGATTGTACCACCTAGATTGCACCACTCTCCTCCTCCGCCGCCTCCTCCTCCTCCTTCTCCTCCTCCTCCGCCTCCTCCTCCTCCTCCTCCTCTGGTTCCTCCTCCTCCTCCTCCTCCTCCTCCTCCTCCTCCTCCTCCTCCTCCTTTGGTTCTTCCTCCTCCTCCTCCTCCTCCTCCTCCTCCTCCTTCTCCTCCTCGGGTGCACCACATATACTGCTCACACCACAGGGACTGACGAGGAGGAGGGGAAGGGCCTGCTGCTGCAGGGACCTCAGCATGCTCTTCTGCCGGGACGCCTCCACGTCCTTCAGGCCGGTGGCCATCGCTCGCCCCTTTCCGGGGGCGCTCCTGCGGGCGAGCGCACTGCATAGGGGAGGGGAGGGGAGGGGAAGGCACACCCCTCCTTTCCTATCCTCGTCTCCCGGCCCCACAGATGGCCGAACAAAAGCCCGTGCAACTCGTGAGTCTGAGCGAGCAGGCGCCTCTCTGACAGGCCATGCCGAGCCGTTGTGGCTACAGGTGGCAGCTTTTCACACGCGTGTAGTCGCCCAATCGTGCTGGCTGACTTTTCCTTGATGTATCTCTGGCTCCAGAATCTCCCCGGAAGCAGTGCAAAAAAAGAAGGGTCAGGGAGAGGAAAAAGGAGCCGAGAGGCGAAGACTGCCTTAATCTGGGCCCGTCGAACTCATCTGCCCAACGCACCATGTTGTGGTCTTGTCGCGGTCCGCGACGCTGCAACTCATCAACTTCCCGTGGGGAACGCGATGCCCCTGCCTAGCTCGTCACATACACAAACAAGCACACACACACACACACACGAACACACACACACACACGAACACACACACACACACGTTTTCGCGCTTATGTGTTGTTTTGCATATATGTCACTCTCACTTTAATGATATATGTCTAGGTATGCACATATGCATATATGTATAATCTCTCCCTCTCTCTTTCTCTCTCTCTCTCTCTCTCTCTCTCTCTCTATATATATATCTCTCTCTCTCTCTCTGTGAACGCTCACTCTCATCGTTGATTCCTACTCGATGTACAAGATTACAAGATGACCCTGCACGAATCTTGGAGAAGGAACGCACGAACCATTACAACCTGTGTAAACACGCGCATCCAACAAAAGCCCGACGACTGCCGGACATTACCGCACAAACGCGATCACTTCTGCAAAAAACTAACGTCCCGGGCTGGCCCGCTGCAGGCACAGATTAGCTAGCAACCGGCAATGTAGACCATGCCAATGTAGTGGGAAACACACAAGCAGACATCACTGAAACAACCTAACAAAGAAGACCAACGCAACTCATAACAACAGAAGAACGGCTCCGCCTGAAGGAGTCCACACTGCACGTAGGTCGCAGACACCACAAAAAGGCTATTGACAACAAAACGTCTAACAACATCGGCGCGCACAAATGCGGAAACAACCAACTTTCTAGGGCGAACCACGGCATACGACTCCATAACGCCAATACGATACTGCCACAACGCCTGTAACGGTGACAATGAGCAAGGACCACACGCACTCCACCCCTGAACTCATGGACGAATCAGGGCAGGTAGGCGCTGATCAGCCAACTAACACTTGACAGGGAGACCCTGCAACAAACAGCTACGCAGGTACCTGACTGTCCACACGCAAGGTGACACGGCGCCCATACACACTTTTTTGCGTCGGCGGCTGGGCAGAGGGTGACTGCTCCGGCGATCAGGCTTCAGGGGGGCGCACGAAATGCAAGTTCGGCCGCAA